AATAGCTTTAGAAACCTTTCATCATGCAATCTAAATGGAAATTGATAAATATACGACAATATATTGGACTGTATAGACACTATAATTCCGTACTTAGCAGTAGTATGGATTATAAGACCGCGCTTATAAACTCTTAGTAAATTATTAATACCTGAATAAGACGAGTCGAAATCAAAATTTGATGATAGCGTTGGTTGAAAATTTCATAATCTGAATCAATTTCGGGTTGTTAACTACTTTTTAATAGCTTAATGACGGTTTCGGTTACGAACGACGGTTTGCTGAGTAATGCAGTTTAACATTTGTATGATCTATCAGAGCCAAACAATTAATAAATCATTTTATCTTACACTAGAGAAGCTCGAATAACGATATTACCGTTATCAATATTTTTAAATCTATTAAATAAGCTTAACCATAAATCAATAATTTTATAATGCTTTGATTACTTTTCAATAATATGTATGCCCTAGTCAGTAATTCTATATTTTTTTACCTAAAAATCACTAGTGTAATTCTAAATTGCTTTTAAACTACTCTACCCATCGTAACTATTTAATAGTAGTTATGATTTATATGGCTGATTACTAGTCATGCAATAGGAATACGTGCATACATTCCATTATATTCTCAAGTTTTGATTTATTAAGACAATGCAAACGGACAATAATCTGATTCTCTGTTAGAAATTATGAAGAAAAAAGTTATTCTACCCCGCAATGACATTCATCAGCTTTTTTGAGTATTTCTTAATCTACATTTGGATAGTGTAGATCTATATACGTATATACCACAGTAAGAAGGCTTACTCTTCCGGAAAAACGATATTTTATAACAATTAAAGGTTATTCTTTGTTGGTTTGTAAATCGATATATCAATCACTTTTGTTGTCAAAATTTCTTTTGATAGATGATTTGATTTCCGTTAGGAAAATGAAAATAAGATGATCTAGAATTGGTCGTGTTATTACATAGTAGTAGTATTGAATATATATTCTGACGTACAACTAGTAAATAGAATTCCTGAATATAGACAAATTTCAATTTAAACCAATGGAAATCAAAACTGAATAATTTTAACTGGATCCAGAATGAACGATCCGTAAATTGATTTTTTTAAATTAATTAAAAGAATAGACGTTATATTATAGTGGGCTAATTTTTACAAAATTTAGAAATAGAATACAATCTATACAGTACAAGCAGATGCATTTAAAATTAATAAAAGGATCGAATGTTTAAATTCCAATAACTGTCAGGTGGATTGGCCACAGAGTACGTGGAAATAGACACATTGCGCAATCAAACAATCATGTATCGACATATATTCAATGACTTTATTTATGTTGATAGCATCGAATTTAATCAGCTTCAATACGAGTATTAAATTTGAGATTTAGTTGATACGCTGTATAGTGCAATCACTAGATTATCCCAAACTGGTCACTTCATGTAGCAATAGATGTAATTAGATCGAGAATTTTCGTTACAATATTTAATTTGTCGCGATTTATCGCTATCTTGCATATTTCAGTGTAGTTATTAATTAATACTAATGTGGTTGCTATTTCTTAATTGAGTATAAAAATATCAATTTCATTCCATGGTAATTAATAATACCCTGATAATTACTTAATTCTGATACATTGATTCGCACAAAATTTTAGCTTTTTTATGAGAGATGATTTTGCATCGCTATAAACATATAGAACATTCGTAAAACATTTTGGTTGTTAGAGTAGAATTCTTAGGTATTATAATGATAAAAAATTTATACCGATTGACTATTAATTAAGCTCCCATTTAACATTTTAAAATTCAGTAGAGTACAATAGCTAAAGTAGACGGTCTTAATTGTTCCACATACTAATTACTGCAACTTTGTCTGACGGAAGAGCGCCTTCTTTAAAAGAGAGTAAATACTGCTAGTAAGTATAGATTATATTATACCTGTTCTCCGCGGTAAAAAAGTAGAGTTCACTGACTAAGCATTTGTGAAAGTAAGCACTATTTTATCATATCGTATTACTTTGGTGGCTGGGTAATGAAATGAAAGACAGTTTTAACTTCAGTGCATAGGAAATCATACCGCAATAATGAAAAACTTATCGCACGTATTCCATAATACATTCCGCGTTCCCAATCAAAAAGATTCATCGTTACAATAAGTTCAAGCCTTTCGCCTCTTAACAGCTATTCCGATATCAAATTAATCACAAATTACTCTAAAAAGGTAAAGCATTCAATTCAAAAGTATATTAAATCTAGTTATCGATAAAATACACAAGATACGAAGTGGAAATGGGCCTTAGGCTACCTATTTACTCTATGAAGCAGTCACTTAAAAAGTAACTTGGATCTAGCTGTCTAGTTCATATGATAGACACGAAGTAAAAATATAGCTATCGCTTTGCGCCCTATACTGTTGTTAATAACTATAAATTTATATTATATTATTAAAGATGTTGATTAATCTTGGATGTCACGTATTACTCTCGCCTATACTGACATATGCAACAGCCAAAATAAGAACTTTAACATAAATCTATCAATAATTGAAAGTGTTACTTAAACTATCGCATTCCTTTCGTGCCTTATGTTTCCATCAAAATATTCGAGGTGTCAAAGAGCTACACCTGGGCTATTCAAATCTGCGGCTATTTGAAGTACACATCTCTATCCTTTTCAATACTAGAACTATGTACTATATTGATTGTATCAAATTACATATAATCGATCAAATAATAAAACTTTACAAATACATCTGCATTGAAAACGTAAATATTACAATGTATCAAATTAAAATGACAGCGTATGAGTAGTATACATAAAAGGATAATTTATCATCAATAGCTAAAGGTTTATATGATCCCTACTCTAATATTGAACGATTTACGAAAGTGAACACTTTATTGCAATTGTAAACAACAAAATTTGTTCTACATTCGACCTCAGAATATCAGTGAGGAAATAGTTACCACTATTTTCGTAATCACGACATTCAATAAAAATAAGATATTAAGCTAGCGCAATCTAGACCATCAAAATATGTAAACAATGGTGAATAGATAAAATGACGTAAATCAGATTGCAAATGAATGCTATGCGTAGACATACCTATGAAATAAAGTTTAGTCTTGTCATTACGGACCGAAACATGATATTTTGTAACCTATTTCATATCTTATGAACGTATCCACATTTCATTGGGTTTGAGATAAATTTACAATTTATAAATATAATTTCCGTAACTAATTAAAAGGTGATAAAGGTAAAACCCTTTACTGACCTATGCATTTAGTTGCTATCTGGTCATATGAGAATCTATCGCTTTAGATATTTATGTAAGATCGATAGTTCGTTGTAAGAGTTTTCACGGAGCCAAATACCATTTCTGCGATATGTTACACCGATTGCTTTCGATCTATCATGGTTAAGTTTTCAACGACTTGAAAATCATTCAATTATAATTATGAAGGATTCATTTTCAATCACTATTGTGATGATTTCGTGCTTTATATTTTATGATGCAATTGAATTGTATTCAGTAGGACTATTTTATATCGAATGCATCTGATGTCAATCCCCTGGTCTATCAAGAATAAAATTTAAATCTTTAATAGGTGTGGTAATACAATTTTAAAGTTTTCCTGAAAATCTCAATAATCACGTTTGTATCTCAAATTGTAAATATTAAAATAGCGCACTGAATTATTGGTAAAATTGTGAACAAAAACTGCGATAAGGGTGTCAAATGATAAATATTAAAACAGTAAATAAAATCGAGGTCAAGATCTGATGACTTTTATACTATTTGTTTACAGGTTTTGTTCCGATAGCAATTACTGCTTGACTTACGATTGTTATTATCATTTTACACCTCAGTAATTTTTCCATCAATTTATATTGAAACCAATCAAAGAGTGAGTGACAATGGATCGGGAAAGTAAATGATAATATTAGAATAATTTTAGATAACATGCATTTTAATTAATCCCATTCCAGTGATCTATTTCTATGATTTTTTTTTAAACCGTAATTGTGTGCGTCTGAACAAGCTGAATAGTTTATCAAATAATATTTTCCATTACATTTCCTTTTCGATATAGATGTAAAATTAGGATATATATCAAATGATTGATTAATTCTACTGTCTATCACTTGAATGATACAGTTTTTGCCTTATTTTTTGTCATTGTCTACACTAAAGTTGAAATCTTGATCGTTCAACCTTAAAAATTTTAAACCGAATTTTCATGGCCGTCTATCTTGTCTATATAAATTGTGCAGTCATCATTTTAAGTGCACTAATGCTATTGCCTGACTTTGACAAATTTAGAGTATGATATGATTCATTTCATTATTACTTTCA